GGAAGGGGCGGCCGGGCGCACCGCGGCGCCCCCTGCCGCCCGCCGCCGGCGCAACGCGCCATATTCCGCGCCGCGTTAATCACCCAGTGCGCGCCGAGCACCCGGAGCCCGATAGTCACTGCACTTCCCAAAAGTATTCCCGCTGTCAGTAAAACAGCTTCAGCACTTCGGAATTGCTCCCCTTAGCCACGCTGAAGTCAGCAAGCCGTCAACAAGAAACGCATCTACGAAGCTCTGCGTTTCTAGAGCACGCGGGCATGCCAAGAGTGGCTGCGTATGTGGATGAATTAATCCATGTGGCTCCAGGGAGATAACTGCTCTTCCCTGATTTACAGGCAGGCATTAGTGGATCTATGGCCAGATGAACAGCCAAGTACGGGACATAGAAACCTTGCCTTCAAAATCTGCCCATTAGGCTTCAGACTGATTTTGTAGACATATTTGCCACATAGACAATAAAACAGACACTTCACAGATGCACATGAACGACACCAAGACTAATTTGAGCCTTACACAATCAGGAAAAAAAAAAAAAAAAAGGCAACCCTCAACATCTCTATTTCCCTTCCAACTAAGGACACATACAAAGCACACTCCGGCCATTGCCAAGTCTGCAACAGATCCGCTGCTGGTGACATCAGAGTGCACTGAGGGGTGAAGAGAGTTTGTCTGAAGCCCTTTTTTTTTTTTTTTCCTCGTTACTACAATATAGCCAGAAAACAAGGCAACTCACTTGAAACAACTGAGAAGAAACGCACAGAACAAGATTGTCCCATCTGCTCTACGACAGGCACAGCTGAAGTCCCTAACTAACTTTTACAATCAACATAATAGCAACACATACTAGTGACAGATACAATCACAGATTCGATCAAGTTACACAAGATGAAAGATGTTTTTGCATGCAAGGGTTACACTTCCAAAAATACAGATGGTGTTTTAAGATTCAGTGCGCACACAACTGCAGCTAATCATCCAGCAAGCAGATCACTCTTAGTTGCTAATTCCCTCTTGAATTCCTTTAGCTCACAAGAAAATTGGATTCAACTAACTCAGACACTTGCAAAAGTATGAACAGGTAGGCAAAAATTCCAAAGATGCCAAGAGAAAGACCTTTAATGAAGATGAAGTTTGACAGAGAGTACCATAGCAGTTTCCACACTTCAAAACCAAAGGAATAGGCAATAATTCAAAGGCAGTTTAGCATATTTCCTTGCATATTTCTCTAATACATATACGTGGGAGTGTTTTCTTTATTTTTGTATATAAAGGAATCAAGGGCTGCTCAGCAGAAACTCCTGCTTCCCTCAGCTACTTCATAGACATGAGATTCAGAAGTAAGGGTAAGGAGCTCATCAAAATTAAAAGTCATTCTCTATGAAGAGTTGCAATTGTTTAATATAGAATGTTTCTGAACTATTATAATTGGATACTTAGTTGATCTTGATGGCAACTTATTCTCATTGTGGCTAACAGATTTAAGCAAAAAAAAATCCATTCAGCATCCATTCAGCAGTGGATTTATATCGTTTGGCCTGGTTCAAATAATTCAAAAGTCATCTCATAAAATTAAATTAGTAGGAGTTCTTTTGTGGCTAAAGCTTGACTACTTTGTTCTAGTATAGTTAGAGTAATTCTGGAATAGGCTTATGTAAAAGTAACTCTGCTCTGTTTTGGGGGAAGAAAAAAAAGACTCCCATCTTTAGCTAGTTGGGTTAGCTACCATCAAAAGATAAGTGTCACAACTTATAAAAGTCACTTTTTGACATTCACTAACATACTGTGTAACCATCCGTGATCTCTCTGGGTATCTTTGAGGATTACCTTTCCACAGGCTCAAAGCCTGAAAAACAAAAAGAAGAAAATAAACAGAGAGGAACAAGGCACACAAGGCCACATATCTAGAGCTCAGACACTGTGGCTGAAGCAGAACCGCCAAGAGAAAACATTGCGCACGAAAGCACCACATTGCTCTTCAAATATACTTTATATGAAATTGCGATCAAACATGTTTAAGGTCTGCACTCAAATAGTTGAATAAACAAGCTACCTTCTCAGCAGGACTGGCAGGAAAGAAGGCTCCTACAAGTACTAGCATTTTTTAACTGCAGTGTTTATTCCTTTCCTCAAGCTGCATCAGACAAAGAATTGATGCAGGTACCTACAAGGAAACCATAATTCTGCATCACGAGCCAGTACCAGATGACCCCCTGTTTTCTATTAGCATATTTTACTTAAGGTTATGCAAAATTGTACTTTGTGTAAGCCACGGTTACTTTGCCTGACAAACGAAAACCACAAAATTATTAGTAGCTTAAACAGAGAAAAATGCTTACAACTCTCATTGATAAAAAATATCAATGAACATCAGAAAATAACTCTGCCCATCTGATTTTGGCAGAGCATATTTCTAAAGCCTTCCTCATTTGTAAAGCACCTTGGACTATCCTCCTTTCTTACTGCTGAGCCACACCATAATCCTTCTCCTTCCTTCTGCTGCCAAGAAAGCTTCAACAAAGCCATCTGATAGTGACCAAAGTTTATTATCCCTCTTATAGTCCACGTGGAATGTGTTATCATCTTAGATTATCTGAGACAATAGTAATCTGAGACAATAGACTCAGATAAAGCACATGAGACTCACATAAAGAAAAAAAATCAGCTGAACTGAAAAAAAAAAAAGAGAGAGAAAAAAAATCGGTGGAATCGGCTCTTTCAAGAGGCAACAAAGGAGTGCAGGCCCTGAGCATCCTCTGGAGTATTAAGCTGCAGCCCTTTGGTGAACAGCCATTTTTTTCATGTTCCCTAAGTTATATCCACAGCAGTGTTGCTGTAACATTTCTTCCAAAATGTTACTGCAGAACTCATGTAGATGAAAAACACAGAAATTAAAATGTATTTATCTGTGTTGCAATAAACATGAAAGAAACACCAGCATTAAAAAAGTCTGACAAGTTCATGTGAATGCTCTCCATTAAGCTCGTTTTAGAGCAACAGTCTGTTATGTTGGCTCCTCTACAGTTTAATGATTTCCTGTTAGGAATTTAAAATTAGAAGCCTCGAACAACTTGCCCCCATAAACTATTTTCAAGGTTCCTTTAATATCCACATCAAGGAGCTATAGAAGGTTCGTATGTTATCCATGTCAGTTCACTTCCTTCCCACTTCAAAATAAGCATATTGCAGGGAAATTCAGCATGGTTTTTTGTTGTTGTTGTGTTCTAAGAAACTTTTTTTTCACTAAGTATGCCAGTTATAGTAATTAAAATAAATTAAAATAGAGCCATACACAAAAATATGAGCTTGCATTTAAACCATGACAAAATGAAAACTACTGGTCTCATATGAGAAGCCTAGGCTCTGTTAATTGTTGCCTAAAACTTTTAAGATTTTTTTTTTTGAGGGGGGGCATATTTTGAATTTCCAGCTATTTCCACACTGAGATTCATCTGTGTGAACATATCATTTTCACAAACAAGTTTTTGTTATTAGACAACGTATCTTATCTCTAATGAAAATATTCAGGTAACAATCTTGCATTGGCAGGACATGAACCAGATTTATCATTTTCATCCATGCTTGAATTATTTTCCTACAAAGCAGAAACACTATTTAAATAATACTTCTCACCTCTTTCACCTCTCAAAGTGTATCTCACAGTTTATCCTTTGACTCAAGGACAATATAATAATTGCAGTAGTCATTCTAATTACAGCACATTTACAAAATGATTTGAAATTGTCATGTTGAAGGCAGAGCGTGTGCAGCAAGGCATCTCAGCTCAGTTCCTCCCTGGGTCAATAAAAGCACCCCAAAACACTAGGCATAACCTTTCTGACAAAAATTAGCACCTCTATCTACCAACCAATAATATTTGTTATGTGATTGCTTTCTAATTAATTTCAGATAAAAACAAGTCAGGTGAAACTAGAGTTGGGCTTAGGCTAATCTAAAAAAAAAAAAAAAAAAAAAAAAGGCAGAACAAATTCTGTTGCTTCTTGTCTGTAACAAAAGTTCAGCTCCTAATTTGGTTGAAACCTCAATCTGCACACACACAACCCCCCCCCCCCCCCCCAACAAGTTTTCAGTTTCTAGATTACTAAACAGTCAAAAATTGCTAGAGCCCATATGAGGCAAAAACAACAATTGCAGGCAAAATGAATTTTTAGTCCTGAAACTATGGTTTCAGGTACAGGCTTGGAAATGTTCACATGAACAAGCTCTACCAGCAGAGGTGAATTTCCGCAATTCACTGTTATCCAGGAATAACCTGGTACTTAGAGCTGGTGGGAGTTTTTCTTAAGGACTCTGGGAGGGGGATTT